GCGGGGCACGTATGTGGCCTGCCGTGGCCACGTGAAAATGAACATGTTGTCGGCTCACTTTTTAAATTTACCGGGATATTGAAACAACTTAATGATCATGAAAAGTATACTGTTAGAAAAAGGTAAAAGAACGTTTTTCAGCTTTGACGGGGTTACAGCAAAAACACAAAAAGGATAGACCTCGCCCCCCCCCCCCCCCCCCCCCCCCCCTCCCCCCTCTTCCTTTTTTTTTCTTTTCCGGATGTTTTACCTGTTCGCCCAACGCCCCACGTCACGTACTGGACAAATCACGGTAATGGGCCGTTGCTCCGAAACTGTACGGGGCTTTCTAGCGTTATCGTTTTGCCGAGGAGAGGGCCCTTCCGGGAACGCGAGATGCAGCCCGGGCGCGCGCGTCGACCGAGCGGAGCGAGCGAGGTCAGGACGGCGTCCCGTAATAGCCTAATCGAGCCCGTTAATGGCGCGACCCCCTTCACCTAAACTATCGTGACCGCTGTTAGCCTACTTTGCGGTCGCTTCGCGTTGTTTCGAACTTCGGGTGCGGAGCCCGCGTCCGAGAGCCGGGCGACTCCTCGCTTCCCGTCGCCCCATCGTGGATGATACCGCCTCCGGAATCGACTAATGACATAGCGACGGATTGATCAAACCGGTAATTAACGTTCGCGTCAAGGTAAAAACACAATTGGTGCTCGTGTCTCGAGCAGATGTTCGAAGGGGGGAAAACTGGATACGCGGAACCAATCGGCGGCGCGCTCTGGACGCTGGAGGTCTTCTGGCCGTTTCAAGGTCCCCGGGGAAAGGGTGGGGGCCGACCCGTTCAAGGTCAGACCGCCACATTGGTGTTTTGTTTCGCATCTTGCCCCACTGACTCGTGGCGCTTCTTGTTTTGCCGAGGTCAGCTGGCAGAACAATAGACCGGGACGCCGCTCGGTACAAACAGCGCGGCCGCAAGTCTTGTTGCGCCGGGAGCCTTCCGAGACCATCGCGGCGGCGTCAGCGTCTTGTTTTTGGCGGTGATGCGGGTTGGAGCTCCCGATTGCTTCAACTCGGAGCTGCGGTCTGGCTTCCCGGAACCTTCTCTGACACCGCGGTGGGAACTACTCTCTCGCCGAACCAATGAACCGACTGCTTTTCGTCACCTGAATCTGACCCCGTCCTCACGTAGCGAAAGATAGGCGTATAACGGGTCCATTAAGCACGTATAGCGTCCACCGCACTGTCAGCTTAGGGGTGAAAGGAGTGTAGCGCTTTTGAGTATCATGGAAAGATGCGATATTGCTTTTCGGTAATTATACGCATGCGGAGTTGCCTCGAGTTTCTCGGTGTCATTTCGGTCGCTTTGATGTTGTTTTCTGCGCTTCTCTCGGTGGATTGTCGGGGTGGACTTGTATCGTTTTTCATGGCCTACTACTTACATACCTTACCTACCTACCTTAGCCGACTCTAAATTCGCAACTTTCAGCGATGGTGGTAGCGCGGTGTGAGAATCACACTCCCTAGCTCCTGGATGATCGGCTTCCGAATAAAGGTGCTTGCCAACACCTTCCTGAGGGGAAAAAAAAAAATCTAAGGCTCTGATACTGCTCGTATATAGCTACACTAGAATGACTCACGCGTCGCAGATCCAGCCTCGTACTGCTGTTCTACGACAATCATCCAGATAACGGCCATTTTGATAAGCACCGGTGCGCCCCCTATGGGTCGTGAAAGTTGCTGTGGATTGCTTTCCACCCACTTGCTCCATTCCCTCCTCATTTCCTTTCCAGCTTTGAATTAATAAAGATCCAACTTGCTAATGTGACGTGCTGTTGGGCTATTTTCCATTCGTTCTTTGTTCGTTCGAGCCTCTTACTTAGCAGAGGATAACCTTCTAAGTTCGTGAATCTTTTTTTTTTTTTTTTTCTCATTTGAGCGCCCTTTGCACCCGGGAGTTTTGTTCAATTAAGAGCGATGTTCAGAGCTGTCGTGCCTACATCTAAGCTTTTTTTTTTGTGTATATATATATACACAGTTCTCGCTATTAACTTACATCCTGAGCTTGTACGTGAACCAATTGATGGGAAAAGCTCGGAGAGTTCTTGCATAACTCGAGCTTCTTATCTCGAGGGCCGCTGATATATGATAGCGCGCTGTTCAAACATCTCTCGTTTTTATTTTATTCGCTTTCTTCAGGTGTCAACGAAATTGGCAAAAAAAGTGGCTCTACTTTTACATATATATATTCCGTTGAATTTACGAGATATTAACAATTGCCGCGCAGTGGTTGCCGCAGAACTGCGAACAAATAGTTCGTCTGGTTTTGGCTCAATTCGTTGTTTTATAAGAATCGATAGGAAGCACTAATAGTTTCATCGTAAAACGAGCGGAACAGGGGCTTAACTGGCTCAAAACTCCGTTATTTATTTATTTATTAATTTTTTTTAAGCTCACTGGATGGGCGGGATTGCTGTCTTTTGCGAATATCCCCGGGTGGGGCAGCCCCAAGCCTGCCTCGAGCGTCGTCCGTTTAGGATAGCCTCCACTGGCAATCGAGTCCCATTTGAAATTGAGGTTTTCACGGTAGACCGCCGAATATTTGCGTGCAACGCGAATGTGGCAAAGCCGTGAATGGTAGTTTACGCCAGTGATGTGATTGCTGCGCCAATTGCGCCAAACTGCGCCAAGGGTCTAACCATGTTACATCCTGCTACAATTTGCCAAAATATGGGTAATCTGCGCCAAGCCTGCGCCGAGCAAATAATTTCGGTCGCCTTTCAAAACCGAAACTAAACTGAGTACTGTAATTGAGCATGAGTGTGTTATGTGCACAAGCGGCCGCCCGACACAAAGTGTCCTGCATCAATTGTCCACCCGGTCTTAAATGGTTTTCCCGCCGTCTCGCGTTTGGCGCTTTCGTCGTCTCGTGATTCTCGTCTCGCGTCTTTCTTTTTATTATGCTTTTATATATTTTCAACGATAGACGCGGCTGTGTGGGGTGTGTGCGGACGCTCCGACGCTAGCGTGTCGGGTACTATTCTTGCGGTCATGCTGTGAAACGAAACCATGTTTTTGCGTGGCGGGAGTTACTTTGTGAGCTGAAGCACTCGCTCCTGAAAGCAGCGGCCGTGGGGAAACTATATGTGGTCCCTGCCTTCTAGTCATCGTGGTCGCGCGACGTCTGGTGTTGCCGTTTCTACGTCGCTGCAGATATGGCGCTTTCTAAGATAAAACTAAGTACCGCCACAAGTTCATCAACATTCCTTTTCTTGTTTAAATAACGCGTTACTACAAAAATCTATCTTTAACTCAAAGACTGATGTGTCGAAGTATTGATTACATAGGTTTCTCTCGGTGGGCTTTCTTTCGAAAGCCCGGTACGTGAAAGATCTTCCGCGAAAGAAAGTTGGTGAAGAGAACTGAGCTAAAGTAAAGAAGGCAATGGTCTGCACGCTGAACTCGCACAGCGCGCTTGTTTGTTTCGAGTTCAGTCATTGCACGAAGCGCTCCAAGAACTTTTGACCCTGGCTCGCGATGTGTTACATCGATGCGCTCAGGTTTCTTTTTTCTTTCGTGTGTGTGTGCGTTTAGCTTGTACCTTGTTTGCCGGCCTGGCAAGCACGTGCCGCTGGACTGTCTTTTGTAGTATGCTCGACAGTTATATTTTGCACAGAATTTTGGGAATCAGTTGGTGACGGAGCGGAGTGGCATGGTTTCGGTTTCAATCGAAGCGTCGTTGTCTCCGCTCGCGCGACGAAGCACGCGCAACTGCAAGCTTGCCGAAGTTGCCCTCACGTGCATGCGAACATGATTGCACGACAGAGGCATCAGCCAGGACGCGTGCAGTCGATTGTTTTTTACGTTTGCTTACCTTTGACGAAAATCTGGTACTTCGGGAACCAGTAAAACGGTGGCAAGCGGTTTTTCGGAATTGCTCGGCAACCCTTACAGCACACTACACTTGTGGGATGTCACAGCAGTAAAAACACAAGCAGCGAGTTCCGTCACAGCACGTCAGATCAGACTACAACAGAACACAAAGTTCCCTTTCTTTGTACAGCAATTAAGACGAATATTTTTACGTTTCAAAGAATATCTGCTCCAAAAGCCACTTTTGCTACTAGGAAGCACTGTCTCAATTGGCTGCTCCAAAAGCCATTTTTGCTGCTCCAAAACACAGTTTTGGCTGCTCCGAAAGGTGCTCCAAAATGGGTTAGGCCAATCACATCACTGTTACGCACTGTTACCGAGCTCTGTTTGGCCAACGGTGCGCTTTGAAGTTCACTTACTCGACGTTCGAAGCACTTGATGCTTGTGTTTTTTTGTGTTTTTTTTTCGCACGGACTATGGGATACGAAAAGGGTATTTTATTTCGTCGATAGCCGGAGCAGAGGGAAATGACCTCGCAATCAAAAGGCTCAGCGGTGAAGGCTTTCCAAGGTATCCAATGTAGGCATTCCTCGCCGACAGACTGTCCCTCTTCCTAGACCTAACGGCGGAGCTTTTCAGTGCCGTTGACCACGCTCGTCCATTTGGCCCCCTCCTTCGTTTTCACGGCACATTGAACCCTGGAAAGCTTTGTAGGCCTGTAGGAATCAGAAACGTTCCTGACATTCGAGCCATCAAGCCACCAGCTAAGCACCTTTCATAGTACTTTTTTTTTTTAATATGTAAATATTGTGTATATTGTTGGTTCTGATTTAAGTAAGCTCCAATAGCCCATTCCAATAGTTGACTTTTGCACCCTGCATCCTACACCGTGGTCTACACTGGACTGTGGAGTGCGTTTTGAGCATGCACATTGCCTCTGTTCTGCGGAATATCGAACACCGGGCATGCACTGCAACAAAAAGACTCGGTAGTTCTTTTCCTTTTTTCTTTTTCTTCATCTTTTGAATGATGAGCGCTGAAAAGCTGAATAGACTCGTTCCGGCGCTACGATCCGCAAGTGGGCATTGGTTGTGGCATGGCGTCCCTGGGTTTTGTGACTCTGTTTAAGGTTCGCGCGTCTTCTCTATTTGCAGATGTCCTTGGTGGATTGGTGCGCCGCCCGCAGTCACGACGAGTCGGACAAGGAGAACAGGGAACTCCCTCAGCCACAGCCGATTCAGCAGCCTCATCATCATCAGCAGCAGCAAGTGCAGCAGCAGCTTCAGCAGTCGGTGTCTTCGTCCTCGGAGCCCGGCTGCTGCCCCGCCTGGTGGGCCGTTCAGGTGACGAGTCGCGAGCGGAGCTGGACCCTGCGGCGCTCGTACGACAACTTCCGGCTGCTGGACGAGCAACTGCACCGCTGCGTCTACGACCGGCAGCACTCGCGGCTCGCCGAGCTGCCGGACCCGGGACAGCTGCCCGCCGAACCCCAGCAGAGGGAGGTGCGCACCCTGTCTCTTTCGTTTGGCTTACCTTTCCTTTCTGTTTGGCACATTCTCGGGAACTTTGATCGATCTCCAGGGGGATGGATATCTGCGGCGAGTTATTTCAAGTTGGCTGAAAAGGAAAAGGGAACGGGACAAATTTCTTCAAATTTTTAATTGGTATATGTTGCGGGCGCGTTGTACATAGCAGAACGATTTGATAGTAATAGTAAATTGGTAACTTATTTGCACACATACACTGTCACTAAGCAGCTACGGGCACATTAAAGCTAACAGATAGTTTGAGTGGTGGCAGCTGAAAACAAAATTGCTGGGTAAATGTTTCAAACGCGACAAAAATCGAAAGTAATATAAGAAAACAAGTCAAGAAAAAAGTGAAAGGAAAAAAAAATAGTATAAGAAATTGTGTTTCTCTGTGCAAGGACAGGTTCGTGACGTCCATACAAAACGAAATTTTCAGTAATGATAATAATAATAAATGATCTTGCTGTGATGGATTATTCGACGACTACATACGGGTCCATCTAATAAGTGAACAGTTCGCGATTGGCTACATAGGGTCAATAAAACAACTCCAAAGCAATTTTCTTTATGATGCAGTCGGCGCATTAGAAATTAGAACATGACCATTAGAAGCGTCATAATGTGCTTCCAACGTTTCGAGCAACGCCGAAACGCCATCACTTTTTATTTCCCAACACTCTATAAATATGCCCCCCGGACCTGTAGTCGAACATATTTGATAAGAACATCGTGTTCAGTGAGAGCTCGTGATGGCATTTCGGGACCGAGATGTTTTCTGGGCACATCAGCTCTCTCTGTATGCTTCTCCGCGTGGCTTGCGGGCAAGTAGGCGTGTGACATTTCTAGAGCATAATACGAGTAACGCGACTAATAATGATGATGAGAACAACTTACATTTGCGTTTCAGTGAATGGCGATTTTCACCACGTGTTTCTGAACGTGCTTTCACGTCTTCGTCTTTAGATTCGCTCAAGGAGTTGAGCGAGCGAACCTGCCGCCACAGCTAGCCGCTAGGTACCGTCGATTTTGCTGGGGTCGTCGATACTCGCGGCTTTCTTCGTAGCCGGCACGAACTACGGAAATACTCTTGCATGGAACCTTTAGCATTTCGTCGTCGTTCAAGTAACGACCACACAACACTAATGATAAGAATTAAAAAAAAAAAATACAGCCAACATTTGTCTGCAGCAGAGAACTCATGTCAAACGAAACGCATAACGCTTTAACACTGCAGCAATCTTAGAAAAAAGTTTGTAGCAGTTAGAAATTAAAAGTTAGCTACTGCTTGTTACAACATTCAACACCTTGTTAGCAAGTGCAGTTAGTAACGGTCAAGTTAGTAACGTTACTGACTCAAGAAGCTAGTAAGGGTTACTAACCAGCCTAGTATATTTCACTAGGCTTTAGCTAGTAATTGGCACTAAAGGCCCGTTCACACACTTGCAACTTCTTAGGACCGAGTACCTTGAAACCTCTTACAATTTCTTGCGACGAGAGAACACACTTGCACCATCTATGGGTAGCAGTGGAAACTTTGGCAGTTCCGTATATTTCTTAATTTTCTCGCGCACCATCCTTTCTTCCTTGGCTTGCAAGACTTTTGTATAGGTGTTATGCAACTTTTGCGGTAGTTATGAACCAGCGCAAAAGTTATAAACTTTAATGTCTATGTTATAAACGCTAATTTCTTCTAAATATTAGGGGCATTTGACCTCGAAAATACCGCAAAACCTGCGCTCTAGTGAAAGGCAGTTCCAGAGTCATCGCGTAGATGGCGCCAGCGCGCCACTGCGTGTCTCGTTGTAAGAGATTTTAAAGGTCCGTTCACACTCTTGCAACCGAGTACGACTGAGAGAGACCACACCGGTTTTTAATTTTCTTGCTACCTCTTAGGACCGGATGCGCTGCAGCGGGGCAAGTCCTAAGACGTCCGAAGAGGCTTAAAAATCGGTCCTGTCTCTCTCGGTGGTACTCGGTTGCAAGAGTGTGAACGGGCCTTATTAAGGCACTCGGTTCTAAGGAGTCGTAAGTGTGTGAACGGGCCTTAACTTTCACAAGATCTAGTAACCGCTACCCGAAACCAGGTGGCGCTAGTCAACGTCTAATTCAACATTGGCAACAACAAAAACGTATCTGCGATAGGTGCTCTTTTTTTTTTTTTTCACGCTGCTTACATGCACATTTGCGCAGGTGTTATACATTTAACACAGACAGGGAATTAGGACACAGATTACACACACGCACAACACACGCGACGGCACGCTAACCGAATCGCTGCCCCCAGCGGCTACCGATGCGTCTTTTACAGTGATCATTTGTAAGAAGTCGGTTGATGAGTGACCACATCGTCTGTGAACGATGTTACACATATGGTGCCGCTTTCGCACCAATAATATACTCCAATATTCTTGCTAAACATTCCAAGGAACGTATCTCTTACTAAGATGTAATGGTGCACACAGTAATTATTTACGGCAGTCTATAATACAGTTTCCCCATAGGTTCCCAGGAGCCATGTTCTCGCTTTCCCGCACAGCAGCTGCAGTCGCTATTTGTCGCGCGTTTGAAGTAGTAAATGGTTAATAAAAAGGTAGTAACGCTCAGAAAAGGGCAGTAACTGCTGCATTTACTAGCTTTGTACCGGCTTTTTCTAAGAGCCATGTTCCCGCTTTCCCGCACAGCAGCTGCAGTCGCTACTTGTCGCGCGTTTGAAGTAGTAAATGGTTAATAAAAAGGTAGTAACGCTCAGAAAAGGGCACTTACTGCTGCATCTACTAGCTTTGTACCGGCTTTTTCTAAGAGCCACGTTCCCGCTCTCCCGCACAGCAGCTGCAGTCGCTACTTGTCGCGCGTTTGAGGTAGTAAATAGTTAATAAAAAGGTAGTAACGGTCAGAAAAGGGCAGTAACTGCTGCAGTTACTAGCTTTGTACCGGCTTTTTCTAAAAGTGTGTAGCACAATTCACGGCAAACAGACTGTTCAAAACGTTCGACATTCACTTGCAGGCGCCGATCTTTTCAGTTTATTCTTTATTTGCGGCTTCGTAGACGTTTGACGGCAAGCTTGGCCGAGCGGAAGCGTCGATGGAGCGCGCTCAGTCGGTGCGGTGTATAAACTCGTCGCAGCTGGTTAGCAAATGTGGCCGGAAGTTTATCCGCTTGGAACGTCTTGCGCGGTTGAGCCGCTGCCACGAGTTGGTGTATTCTATGGTTTACTTTATTGTTCGTAAGAGCTTAGCTCTTGCAGCCTCCCAGCTTGGGGAACAGGCGGCCATATTATCCTGTGCGCCAACAATACGTGGGCTTCTTGAAACTTCGATGTGTATCCAACTGGTTACAGCGGTGTACACGCTTCGGAGTGCGCTGTTGAAATCGTCAGAACGTGCCGTCTCGTCTTATTACTTTTCCTTGTTTCTTTGTATGTATGCGTGCATGCAAATGCGTGTCAAGGTCAAAAAAGGCATGAATCAAGACGTTTGTCACGCGAAGGGTCATTGGAATAACGCGTGGACTTGTTCGCTTCAAGGTACTCCGCTCGCGAGCGAAAGCGATAAGGGGAAGGGAGCAACACTCTTGCAGTTTTTCAATCCACGAATTGGCGCGAGGGATAAAGACGCAGCCTCTTCTCCGGCCTCCCTCCATCCATTACCGCTCTCGACTTTAGCGTCGCAGGCGTGCTCTTCCGAGCGTCGTTCCCACGGGTGCCCCACAGAACTCGCGCAACGCCGGCGGAATCGCGCTTTCCGTCGGCCGTCCACTTCGGTGAGTGGCTCTGGCAAACGAGCCACAGACAAACGTGCTACTCAGAGCCGTACGGCAGAGCCGCCGCCGCTCTTTGCCCCTTATAAAAAGTCACGTCCAGATCGAGACCGCCGCTGCTAGTGGAACCCGGGGAACAACACCGCGTTGCTGGATGGTGGCGGCGGTGGACGCCCTCCTCCGGTCGTCCCGAGGGCCTCTCCCTTCCTGTCTGCTCGTTGCTTTTGCCGCCGCGGCGTTGGGTGGCTTCCTCGGCGGCTGGTACTTTCTTGAATGGCCCCCTTTGATATCCGCGGAGACGTCAGCGGCGATCTCCGGCTTCTCCTCCGCCGCATTCCGGGCGCGAGGAGCGTTCGGCTGCCCTCTCCTTCGCGAATTTTCGTGGCCGGCCGAACCGGCAGCCGACTCGGGCGAAGGCCCCCTCGGAGCGCGTTGGACCAGCGGGCGAGCGCGGATAGGCGGCCAGACCTGTCCTATTTCGGCCGGCGTTCGGCTGCTCGACCCACATGCGCTGGTGCACTGCTCGCGCCGCAGCCGTCGTGGTCCGTGCTCGGCGTGCCGGCTGGGGGCGACCGCCTACTCCTGACGACCGCCGACGTGGGAACGAGCTCGGTCGCGGTCGCCGCCGGCGGTCGTGCGTGCACCTGCCAGCTGCTGTCTCGTGACCGCCGCTGTCCGTTCGCGTGCCTGGATTGCGCCGTGGGCGACCCCTCGGTGATGTTCGCTGCCTGGATTAACCGTGCGTCGGACGTTGCTGCTTCGAAGGTCTCGGAGGGAGTGCTGCTGCTACTTCTGTGACTGTTTAGTTTCTTCCCGATGGTACGGCGCGGCGAAGTTGGCGGCTGATCGGCAGCTCCCGTGCGCGCGGCATTCCGACGGGGGCGGAAGAGCTGTCCTCGCCTTGTGCGAGATGCGTGGCCTTCGACGCTCCTTTTTTTTCCCCTCTCCTTTTAATTTGTCTTCCTGGTCGTGGGATGCTGAGGCGTTCTTTCTGAGGGCCGCTATTCTTTAATTATCGTCGTTCTCTACCGGCGTTCGTTCGTGTGCCGTTGATGATGCCGCCCCAACCGGGTATCTCGACTCGGAATTACGGGGCTTCAGTTCCTTCTATCTCGGGGAACGTACCGGCGTTCGCCCTCGCGCTTTCGTTGAGCTGCGACTGAGGCGGGAAGACTTCGCGTCCGCCGCACCTGTCACCGTCTGTTGGTGTTCCGGT